TTTTTTTCAGGAACCCTTCACATATTCGAATACAGCACATTCAATCTATGATGAAATGGTATTCGATGCTATTAAATCAGCATTTCGGGAAGCACATCAAGAACTGGATTCAACCAGAGATTTAAAACGATTATTGAACTGCAAACCTATAGCGGTGAACGCTCCAATGGGAGGGTGAGTTAAATTTTCTTGCGGGGGACGGGGTAGGAGGGATGGGGTAATATAGCCTGTCCCAGTCGCAGTCTGTTGCTCAGTACATCCGCCTTGCGAGTCCCAATCGATAATCCATTTCGCGCGCAGTGAGTGTAGAAGTGGACGTTATCGATTGGCGCTTAGCGCGCGAGACCCTTGCGCTGCGGATGCGTACCGTGCCCTGAAGGGACATTGCAGTGGAAATAGACTCTATTTTACTTTAGAGATTGCTGATTTTTTTTAATGAAAAATCATCTTTCAGAGCCATGGTTTACGTATCATCTTTTAACTCGACCCGTGACACCTCAAGCGGTTCAATGACCGGTGATTCCCCGGCGAGTGAAGCGTCAAGACGGTCGACCCCACGTGGAAGCAGCTCAGCAAGCAGTATAAGCACAGCCCATAGTGGAGCTAGTAGCAGCGGTAGCTCAAGTTCAAGCGATTACGGCGAAGACCAGGACCATGACCGGTGGGTTAGAGTAGTTTTTCTTGGCGGGATGAACTAAAGACTATACCTTCCAGAATGGCTGATGTTTCGGAAATCACTCGAGTACCATTACGGCCGCACTCAAAATCGCGTAATCGTCGATTACCACGAACAGGTGGTGGTGGTGCCAATAATGGTACGACAACATACCCGTCATCCTGTGTCCCCAAAGCTCCACAAATATCCGTGACCAATACAGCTGTGACTGCTGAGCACTAAGTGCTTCGTCTCCACACACTCGAGTTTTTCTCCAAACGAGGTTTCACTCGACGATCTCACGATATAGACGCCTCTCTCACTCCTCTTTTTGTGATCGCTGTGATATCAACACAATCGTGAAAAAATGAACCAGTCGTGTACGGCTTATCGTCGTGCCCAGAAAAATGCACATTCCGGGATCCTCTTCTATTAAAGTTTCTCATTCACAAAAATACCATTTTTTCCATACTCTG